TTGGTAGTAAATAACGATGACCTCAAGAGTAGAAAAGGTACTCGAATAACGATGATTCATCTTGTCCTCTGCACAAAATACCGCCATTTCATTCTCATTCTCGTCTTTCGTTCTCTTCATTGACAGATCCTTTTTTTTTTTTTTTTTTTTTGTTTGGTATATCTGTCGGTATCTCGTACTTTTTCATTGAATAAAAATTTGCATAACACTCTGTCTGCATTACTTCATCACTGATTTTGCTCTATCGTGCGCAATATTCATTAGAATGAACAAATGCGCGCATATGCACAGTTTTTCTCATTGTGATATTTGCGGGTGAATTGAATGACCTGAGAAAGAGCTCACTACCTGACCTCAGCTAAATAATTATCCGCTACTCTCCATCCCTCCAATCTTTCTTACCTGCTAAAATTCCTACAATACCTGTCCATTTCACCTCACGTGCCACAATCATACAACGTTGCGTCAAGTTGCGCATTTTTCCCTTCCATTCTTCCCAATTATTTTGCATCTATCAAAAAGTTCATCTTAAGATAAATTTATTTTAGTTACAGAAATTTATAAATTTTCCTTTCATTTTTTTTTTTTAAATTTGTATTTGAAGTTATCTGCAAAGATAACAGTGTTAGTGTTACATACTCAAATGTCAATAAGCAAAAAATATTGGAATTTATCGAGAATAATTAATATATGTTGGGAATTATTGACATGTATTGGATAATAATACAGGTTTTATCATTCTCTTTTTTTCAATTGAAATATCTTTTTATAAAATTATAAATAAATTCGTTTCCGTAATTCCATTGTATTAGATAATTTCAATTCTTCAATTGAAGTATGATATAAAAGTATCTTAATTATCAATTAATTAATATCAGCAGTTAAACAAATGCTTTTAGTCAGGAAGAAATAAAAATACAAACTTGCTTCAATGCAAGTATGATGTAAACGATCATTATCATCATGGCTAAAAAGTATTACATGACATGCGACATCAAACTTGATGCATGATCCTATTGGCCCTCATCATGATGACTCCCTATTGGCTCTCATGTTGATCCTATTGGTTCCCGTGATGTTGCTATTGGCCTTAATGATAATTCTAATTAGGACCCAATGATAAGATAAGAACAACGGAAGTAGAGATTTAATGTCCGAAGCATTGCAATCCATTACGATAATTAAAAAATACGAATGCGAATTCAAAAAACAGAAAATGAAATGATATTTCATTTCCAAAATCGAAGGCTGGAGTAATAACTTGTATCAATTAACAGTAGCTTAAGTTGAATTAAATTAAGAGCATGAATGTTACAGAGAGCATTTCGAAACCTCAAATGTAAATTATTAAAGGTAAGTTCATGATACACGTAAATTTTTAGCATATCTTATCTGTTTTCATTTTAAACGAATATTCCGGAATTTCCAGATTAACAATAAATATTGCAAATTTCAATTAAAAGTTTGAGATGATACGAATTTTTAATTAGTCCAATATCAAGAGCTGGATTTATGTATTAAAATTCAAAAAATTTGCATAGTAGATTGTTTGTAGCATTTAACCGATGTTAATTAAATGCTTGATTACTTGTAAATTAAGAAAGTTTTTTTAAAAATTATCTCTATTACATTTTTAGTATAAGTAATGAAAATACAGTACTCACCATCTATTTGCACTTATCCAGTAAATGGTATGATGCGTTTCTAGGTTAATTAACAGATAGAGATGTGGTCACATCTGTTTTCCAACAACCATTCATTCGATTGTGTTTTTCACTTTTCTACTACGGTGAAGGTAAACTACGGTAATGTAAGTTATTACTCCAGAAGTACAAGCTCCAACAAATATAATAAGTATGTTCAGCTAATCTTTGATTTTTACTCGCATTTGACTTTCAAAGAAATGGTTTACCTTAGATTTGCTTCATTTACATATTCGGTAAGTTTATCGATATTGACATTTTGTGTGAAGTTGAAATTAACTCCTACGGTATATGCTTCGTTGCATCTGTTGAAGTATTATTGATCGAGGAAGATGACCAGTGTCATCACATCTCTGCAAATGATTTGGAGGAGTATCTTGCTCACTCACTTACCTCAACGTTTACTTGGTACCTTTATGACAGTACCATCAAACTACAATTTCAAAGCAATACGATACAATTTGCTTTTTTTTTTCAAGACAAGAATCGAACTGGATGTCTTTTACCTTATTTGGTCAGTTGCATCTTGAAATGAAGAAAACCGTTCTCAGCAAGAACTATTCAGGCCTAATACAGGTTCAGAGGTCAAAGACTTCATTTAGAGTTTAGGCCTTCCCACTCTCTGCAACACGATTCTCATTCTGCTTGGAAAAAAAGGTCAGGGATGGGAGAGAGAGAGAGAGAGAGAGAGAGAG